AAGCCACAAATGATTACATAATTACTTCAATCCTGGCCGATAATGCCGTTTCACGGACGGCTGCGCCAGGGGACGCGGGCGACGTTGGCAGCCTGCAGGCATAAACCGCGTGCTTGTTGCAAGCACGTTGGCCCACATCTTGCACACTCATCGCCAGTGGCCGAGTCGTAACAGATGACAGAGCTCGCGGGAACGTTTGGCATTCTCTCGCCGGCCTCGTCCTCGTCACCATCTCGGCGGTAGATGTTTGTACAGTGTGTAGTGCATAGTGCATAGTGCCGCGGCGAGGATGTACAGTGAGCGAGCGGAGTCCTCTGGAAATAAGGTTCCGCTGTGCGTCTTTCTTGCCCCTGCGTCGGGAGCGCTATGATTCAGTGGGAGGCGGGGGAGGGGTGGGGGTAGGCAGTGGTGGGGGGCTTGGAGTGTTAGGATTTAATGGGGGGGGGGTTGGGGGAATAGGAAGTTGTGGGTGAGGGAGTGGGAGACGGGGAATGGGGAGGAGGAAAGGTGGGGAGGGTTGGGGGTTGGAAGGGGGACGGGCGTGCGGTGTTAGCGGGCCGTCGTTCGTGTTTTGTCTTGCGGCGAGCGGAGACTCCGAGATGGTGTGGGAAAGTTGCGGCTCGTGACCGCTCGCTCGCACAGCCGAACGGAGCCCCCGCTACCGCCGGCGCCGCCGCTGCCGTTGCCGCTACCAGTCCATTTAAGACGGATTTGAACTTTAGCCGCTGCCGCCGACGCTTCGTCCGCCGCTCGCTCGTGTCGCTCGGTCTCGGCTCGTTTATGGCGCCCCCCCCCCTTACTCCCCCTTACTCTCCTCTCATGACTCCCTTCGACTTCCCCCATCCCTCCCTTCCCCTTCCCCCTCATCACGCACGCTTCTACCCCTTCCCTCGGGCTACCCATGAACCACTCCCCCCTCGGGCCACCTCTCCTTCCTGTCCTCGCCGCGTCTGCTGTCCTCCCCAACACCTATTGCGCTCTCTCTCTCTCTCTCTCTCTCTCTCTCTCTCTCTCTCTCTCTCTCTCTCTCTCTCTCTCTCTCTCTCTCTCTCTCTCTCTCTCTCTCTCTCTATTCACACCTCCATATCTCACACCTGATCCATTATCCTTTTTTTTTCATTCCTTTTTTTTTCTTTCTCCCACTTCCTGTCTCTTGTAAACAGCCACTCAACTCACCTGCGTGAACCCTCTTCCTCTGTTGACCACTTCTTTCACTCTTGCTTCACGGGTTGTGTGTTGGCGAGGTAGGGAGAAGAGAGGGTGAAGGGAAAAGAAGACGAAAAGGAGGATGAGGAAAAGCAAGGAGAGGGTAGGGATATGGGAAGGAGTGAGGAGGAGGGGGTAAAAGGGAGAGACGGCAGGGGGAAGGGAGTCGTGTTTCTTGCTGAGGGGAAGGAGGGGAAAGGGGGGGGGAAAGGGAGAGTGGAGGGGGGTTTGTCACCCTTACCTCGGGTGCTCACCGGCGTTGCCATGTTCTCGACGCTCCTGCAGGAAACAAGGCGTTTTGTACATGGAGAGTGTATCGGCGGAGGACAATGCGCTCTCTGGTGGCGTGGGATTTGGTTGCGGTGAAGGTGCAGCTGCGAGGGACGTTGCTGTTGCCGCGTGTCCGTGTGTTTTGCAAGGGAGGGAAGGGGAAGGGGAGGGAAGGAAGAAGGCGAAGGGGAAAGGAAATGAATAAAGTCTGGGGGAAAGGGAGGAAAGGAGGAATGGGAAGGTAAAGGAGAATTGGAAGGGAGAGGAGGAAGAAGGGAACGAGGGTAGGGGAGATATGAGAGTAAGGGAGGGAAGGAGGGAGGTAAGGAAGGAAGGAGGAGTAGGAGGAGGGGAGTAGAAATTGGGGAGGGGACGGGGGAGGGGGAGAGCGGCGTCGGGGGGAGAAGGGGGAGGGAAGTAAGTGTTGGGGGGCGTGATCGAGGGTGCGACATGAGCCACCCCTGCACCGGCGGCTCCTCCGCGGCGGCCGCACCGGACGTAATCCCACAGCAGCTCCTCAGGCCGGCCGCGCTCGCCGATCCTTCCGTGCTTCCCTGCCATACGCCCCCGCTTCCAGTGTCCTTCCTGCCCTTGCTCACGGTGCGGCGGCGGCGGCGGCCTGCTCGCTCTCCTTCTCGCCCGTCTGAGTCAGCACCTGCCATGCTCGCCCCCGGCAGGACGTTTCTGTGGTAGGCGACGCAGTGCGAGTGTCGGCGAGGCAAAGAAAGTGGGTGGTTCGCACGATGTACCGTTGCCGTCATGTAGCCGACGTCTGAACCGCGAGGAAAGCGGGTTTCTTGCAAGGAATGTAGTGCAGACAGTGTCATCGCAGTGGGAAAGACCGTGGCATCGAGTGCGAGTGTCGTCTGGAGTCGAACCGTGTTTGTGTGTGTTGTGTTGTGATGGTGGGTGGCGAGGATCTCGCGCACCGCTACTGCGACTGCTGCTCCGACGGGGGCGAGGACCATCAGTTCCTGGAGCCTCCCTTGCTGAGAGGCCTCTCGCCTGCGCCCTGGCTCACCCCGGACGGCTCCCTGCCCCGGGGCCGCTCGCCGCTGCCCTGGCTCACGCCGGACTCCTCTCCCGCGTCGTCCCGCAGCTCCGATGCCCCGCCGCTGCCCCCGAGGCCCGTCCCGAGGTCGCCCGTCAGGAGCAGCCCCCTGGCCCTGCGGGACGCCCTCTACGCGGCGCGGCTGCCACTGCCCGTCCACCAGCCGTCGCCATGCCACTGCGACGGCTGCACGCCCTCTCAGCAGGACGAGGACTCCATCTACGAGGAGGTGGGCTTCCAGTATTACTCAAACCCGGGCTTCGCGGGCGCCCTTGCCTCCGTGGGCCTGGAGAAGCCCCCCAGCCGCTGCCAGTGGAAGCGCGGCTCCTTGGGCGGCCCGCCGGACGACAGGGCGACGTGCGGGCTCCTGGGAACCAACGCCGTCGTCTTCCCCGACGCCGTGTTCCCCCTCAAGTCGAAGCCGTCGTCCACTAGCTCTTCGGGCGTGGGCGGCGTGCTACGCTCGCTGGGCGTGTGTGGGCGGACGGCCTCGCACTCTACTGTGGTCGAAACAGTGTCCACTTGCACGCTGGATGACTTGGGCTCCGGCCAGAGTGCGTACGGCAGTGGCACCTATGGCAGTGGTACTTACGGCAGTGGCACCTATGGCAGTGGCACCAACGGCAGTGGCACCTATGGCAGTGGCACCTATGGCAGTGGCACCAATGGCAGAGACGCATTCAAAAGTAACAAGCCGTCGTCACACTCTCGGCGGAAGGTAAGTTTGGCACCACCGCGGCCCGTGCACGCCCCGTGAGTGCATGGCGGTCCCGTGACATGTGCATGGGAACCGTAGGTTTGGTGTCCGGCCCTTCCCTCGTCGCAAGGACGCAACATTGGTCTAAATTACTGGGCAGAGCCAACCAGTCATCTCATAAACATGCCATGACACTGCCTATGGCCTTGTCCCTTTGTGCGTTTCCGTGTCCGGAATCTATTACGGCGTTTGGACTTTTCACTTTGGTCTTTGTGTGATGGTATGCGATAGACATTGGTATGGCGGCGGAATGTTCTTCAGATCAAGTTCAATCCCATGCCGATTTTCAATTGTTGTATAAATGATAATTACTGGGATCAGGTTGATGGTTAAATGCTCATTATGTAAGGACGGTTGTCGTTATTGATAATTATGATTATAGGATTATTGCAGATAGAAGCATCAGTTTACCTGTTGATTGCATTATTGGAAATGATACCGGTTTGTCAATTTCAATTTCAAGTCGACTAATAAAGACATACTAGTAATTATACTGCTATTATATAGCCAAAAAAAGTAATGACCTTTATTATAGCACCAAATGCCCAATGTCAGAATACGAAAAAATACGATACACAACCGAACTAAACCAAAAAACGGCCCAAAACCACTTGTAAGGACACTGCACTAACAATGACAAGAAACGCCCGACGACCACAGTATGTCAAGGGGCCTCAGACCGAACGGGTCGGGTCGCAGGGAAGGGAAGTCTCCGAATGCTTTGCGGAAAGTCGGGGAGCTGGAGTTGAAGGCCCCAAATTACGGGATCAGTCCTCGCCGCGCCTCACTCGCCCGCCCTCGCGTCTTCCTTCCAAAGGAGCTCTGGCTGGGTGCTTGCTTGCTCGCTCTCCCCTCCTCTCGCCGCCTCTCTTGGCTGGCCTTCGCTTCTCTCTTGCTTGATCTCTCTCTCGCTCTCTCTCTCTTCTCTCTCTCTCTCTCTCTCTCTCTTCTCTCTCTCTCTCTCTCTCTCTCTCTCTCTCTCTCTCTCTCTCTCTCTCTCTCTCTCTCTCTCTCTCACCCTTCTCCCTTTTCCCGTCTTCCCTTTCCCTCGCTATCTCTTTTCCTGCCTCCTACCTTTCCTCCTTTCTCTTTCTCTTTTTGTGTGTGTATGTGAGTGATTGAGAGAGAGAGAGAGAGAGAGAGAGAGAGAGAGAGAGAGAGAGAGAGAGAGAGAGAGAGAGAGAGAGAGAGAGAGAGAGAGAGAGAGAGAGGAGAGGAGGGGGGGGGGGGGAGAATCACACCAAAGGGAGGCAGACGAGCGGCAGGATAATTGCTCGCCGATGCTTCCATTTGTTGCAAGCTCTCACCTCCGCAGATTGCATCGCCTAAGAAAATTTCCTCCGGGGATTTCTTCGATTGTGTTTTTTTAGATTATTCTCATTTATTTTTTTTTTCTTTTATCTATTTATTTATTGATTTGTTTATTTATTTATTTACTAGATCGATATGTAGATGGACAGACAGACAGACAGGCAGGCAGGCAGCAGGCAGATAGACAGACAGACAGACAGACAGACAGAGAAAGATAGATTTCGTTGGTTGAAATTAGGTTGTTGTCTTTGGTCGTATTTTTCATTCTACGCAAGATTTTTCCCCTTCTAATGTCTTTTCTTCATGTTTCCCTCTCCTAATGTCTTATATTAATTATTTGAAACTCTCCTCTGTCTCTCTCTCTCCTCTGCTCCTCTCTCCCTCTCCCTCTCCCTCCTTCCCTCCACCCTATCTCTCTCTCTACCTCTCCCCATCCTTTTTGTCCATCTCTTACTCTTTGCTCTCCCCTTCTCCCTTATTCGATTTTTCAATCCCGTCTGATCGCAGGAAGCGACGCAAATTCATAATAAAGATAGGCAAGAGATAGATATTGATAAATGAGCCGTTCCCGGGTTCAGTAGTCCGCGATAGTCTTCGGCGTTGCAATTTTTTTTTTTTATTTAATGTTCACTTATTTATTTTTGTAATTGTTTATGTTTATTTTTCGTCTGATACAGACTGACAAAATTATATATAGACAGAGATGGGAGGTGAGAGAAAGAGAAAGAGCGAAAGAGTAAGAGAAAGAGTGAAAGAGTAAGAGAAAGAGTGAAAGAGTAAGAGAAAGGGCGAAAGAGTAAGAGAAAGAGCGGAAGAGTAAGAGAAAGAGCGGAAGAGTAAGAGAAAGAGCGAAAGAGTAAGAGAAAGAGCGAAAGAGAGAGAGAAAGAGCGAAAGAGAGAGAGAGAAAGAGAAAGAGAGAAGAAAAAGAGCGAGAGCGAGAGAGCGCAAGAAGCCCCACAATGCGTGTGTTCTGCTCATCTCATCTCTCTGTCTCCCTTGTCTCTCTCCCTCCCTCTCTCTCTCTGTCCTCGCACGTAATATCACCGAGGCGGCACAATACGTCACCGCGCGTAGCGGCCCAGCATGTGTTCTGTTTACACGTGTTAGTGCAAATGCAGTGATCTCTCGAGCACTTGTCCGGAGTGTTTCCCTGCCCACGTGTTTGTGTGTTGGTATTTCTCAGCGTCCTCGAGCGGCTTGGCCAATGGTGAGTAACAGGAGCGTTCGCTGGATGAATGAATGGGTGGAGTGAATGCGTCGAGTGCCTTTGGGGTGCGCGGGAGTCCCAAAAGCTAGGAGCAAGCACGCGCAAGGCTTCCAATTGCGTGGAATGTGCATGAGAGGATTCACCGGGGCTGAGTCACCCGCGACCGATTACTCATTTCTGTGCCTCATCGGGACTCATCGGGATAATTGCGGTGACAAATCTCCCGTGATATCAGCTGGGCGGTGCCGATTGCGCGTGAAATACTCGACAGGCGGGAGGGAGGCGGAAAACGAATTATTTTTGGAGGGTGCGAGCATGTTATGAATGCGTTCTGTCGTGTAGTGTGTAGTGATTGGGCATGCGTGCATACATGGACATTGTGTGTGTGCTTGTGTCTGTGTATGTGTGTGTATATTGACATGCCCGTTCGTTCGTTTGTATGCATAGATGTAAATGTGAAATGCTTGTGAGCCTTGTATGTACATACGTGTGGTTGTGTCGGTATGTGATTGTACGTTTTTACACGCGCTGGCGCACAGCCTATTTGGCATGTACGTACATGGGAGGTGGACTAGCATTGACAGGTGTTTCCAATTGTTCCTCGACAGCCAAGATTATCGGGAGGCGGCGCTTAATTGTTAAGGGACCGACCGGGGAGGAATCATCGTGGCATCTATTATGCCCGACTAATTATCTCGGAGTGAGGGAGAGAGAGAGATGGGGAGAGGGAGAGGGGGAGAGGGGGAGAGGGAGAGAGAGAGACAGAGACAGACACAGAGACAGACACAGAGACAGACAGAGAGAGAGGGGGGGAGAAAGAGAGAAGAGAAGAAAGAGAAGAGAGAGAAGAGAAGAGAAGAGAAGAGAGAGAGGAGACGGAGAGGAGAAGGAGAAGGAGAAGGAGAAGGAAAAGAGAGGGACAGAGACAGACAGACCGACAGAGACAGATAGAGAAACAGATAGAGAGAGATTGAGAGAGAGAAAGGGAGAAACAGGATGGGAGGGAAGAAGAGGCAGTAGGCCCCAGATAAAGAGAAAGAAACATAAGCGATAAGTGCAGCACATTAGACGAGCAGAGAGAGAAAAAGAGAATATTTGAGATGGATTTTTTTTTATCCTCGTTTGGCTTTATTCACGATGCATTTATTCATTTGGTTTCGGTATATATTTTTTTTCGAACGGGAAAATGTCCTGCTATCGCTGCGTCCGTTTGCTCAGCGATCTGACGTGGATTTAAGTGCGGGATTTAAATAGCGAAACGCGTTTTCCTCGGAGAAGATCGGCTTTATGTATTTTTTTTTATATATTTTTTTTACGTTTTTTCCCCCGGCGAGTTATTTTCGTCGAGAGTAATCGTCAGCGAGTCGGTTAAGGGGTTAATAGGTCCCAGCAGGCATCTTTTAATGGGCGTTCATGTCGTGGATTTGGAAAGGAATACATGCGAATTGGGGCGGGGGAGAGGGCGTGTTAGGGGGGGCCACCCAAGGGGAGGGGGGATGTTGCGTAAACACGTGAAGGGATTCGTCCGTAGGCCCTGTGGCGTCGCAGACCTCCCTACCTTTTTTTACCCTCTTCCTCCTTCCCTCCTTGCCCCCATCCCCTCCTCCCTCCCGCCCTCCAACCCTTCTTCCTTCCTTCCAACATCTCTCCTTCCTCCCGCCCTTCCTCCTTCTGCCTCCGACCTCCTCCTTCCTCCCGCCCTCCAACCTGCCTTCTCCCGCCCTCCATCCCCTCCTCCTTCCCTCCCGCCTCCAACCATTCCTTCCCCTCCCGCCCTCCCATCTCTCTTCCTCCCGCCCTCCAACACTCCCTTCCCTCCGCCTCCAGACCTCCTCCTTCCCTCCGCCCTCCAACCTCCCTCCTTCTCCTCCCTCCAAACCCTCCGCCTTCCCTCCCGCTCCAACCCTTCTTCCTTCCCTCCCGCCCTCCAACCCTTTCTCCTTCCCCCCGCCTCCAACCCCTCTCCTTCCCTCCCGCCTCCAACCCTCTCCTTCCCTCCCGCCCTCCAACCCTTCCTCCTTCCCCTCCCTCCAACCTGCCCTCCAACCCCTCCGCCTTCCACACACACATACACAACCTAAAAATACACATACATTATGGAAAGTCATACTCTGAATATTGCCATGACACTCACGAAATGCGATCTATGGAGGTTTATTTTTTAGCTTCACGAATCAAAGGTGAATGGCATTTCACCGCATTCCTTACGAGGTGAAAGTACAAAGGAAAATGATGACAGGGAATTTGAAAGTCTCCTCCATCCCCTTTTTTTTGGTACATTATGTAGAGGTTGGGGTGGGGTGGGGGTGGAGGTGGAGGTTATCGAAGTTATGCCGCGAAATTGAGATGGGAAGAGGGGGGGGGGAGAGCAGAAATGAAAGGAAAGAGAGGAAGGTAAAGCGGAAATGGAAAGGAAATGATAAGGGTAAAACTTGGAATCGCTTGGAATGAAGAGAAGGAAATAGTGAACAGATTGAAGAAGGAAGAAAGAAATCAAGGAGAGTGGGGGGAGAATAAACAAACGAGACGAAAATGAAAAAAAGTAAAACGAAAGAAGTTAAAAGAAAAATAAAGTGATAATTCGAATATAGGGAGGAGGAAAAAAATACAGCAGAGAACGAAAAAAAAAAACGAAATGAGAAGTGAGAAAGCGAAACGAGAAAAAAAGAAGTAATCAGAGAGAAAATAAACAGGGTTAAGAAGGAAGAGAGAAAAATAAAACAGAATTTTCCAGAAGGCTGAAAAACGGCGGCAATCTCCGTTTCGTCGCAGATCCCAGAATTTGCAATCTGGACTGGGATGAACTGGGAGCCCCTTCGCAGCCCGGCCGGACGCGGGGGGGGGGGGGGGGACCGGGACGAAACGTGTGTGTGAGAGAGAGACAGAGGCAGACAGACACATGCAAACATACACAGACATACAGACATACAGACACACACACATACACACTCACATACACATATACACACATACACACATAACACACACACACACACACACACACACACACACACACACACACACACACACACACACACACACACACACACACACACACACACACACACACACACACACACACACACACACACACACACACACACACACACACCACACACACACAACACTGAATATCTTGGAGAGACAGACACAGACAGACAGACCAGCTATATCTATATCTAATTACTATATGATACACATTTATATAATCTTACATGTAACACGGCCACGTTACACAGACAGACAGACAGGTATACAGACAGACAGACAGACAGAGAAAATGAAAATAGGAGTTACGTTTTTGTTTGTAACTGTGTAAGGAAAAACGAATGCCTACACGGGTATGCGCGTTCAGTCGCATGCACTTTATTTGTGTGTGCGTTCATTTCGAAGACGGAAAGTAATCACATCCCCGAAGTACGACGAAGCTTTCCAGACGAGGCAAGGGGCGAGAGGGAAGGCGGATGTCGGTATTAGCCGAACGGAGTGGAATAAAGCTGGGTTGACATAAAGGACGGCCATTAATAAACGTGGGAGTTCGTGGATTGATTTTGGACGCGAGAAGGTGGGTGGGGGGTGGGGGTGGGAGGTGCAGAGAAGGGGAAGGGAAAGGGGGAGGGGGGGGTAGGAGTCATCGCTGTTGTGAAGAGGTCGTGGAGGACTTTATTATCTCCGTTGGCTTGGGTTAATTAAATGCGGATGACGTCTGGTTATATGGGAGGAGTAAATTTACGCGAAGGGGAGCGTAAACTCAGGGTGTGTTTGTAATCGCGGAGCTGTGTTGATTTCGCTTTAATATGAGGTAGTTCTTTTTTGTGAGTAATGTTAACTTCATGTGCGAATCGACATTAAAGCGTATAGCCGAGCTTGCGTCCTCAACAACTTCGATGTTAATATTATGCAGTTGGACATCAAGAGTTCAACAAACTGCACGAATCCTGTAAAGTCTACCCTCGAAACAGCCATGCGTCTCGTTTTCTTTAGATTGTGTCAACATAGAAAATGTAATGTCCGGGGCACTTTGAAAATTCTTTTAGCTCAGTAATTGAGTTCTGTGTGCGTAATGTGATGTTTCAGTTCAGATGCTAAACTTGTTACGAATTTCATTTTGATGGAAATGGAGCGTGTATAAGCGTTAGAATTACTCTATTTTGAGGATATGGAGTCAGGACGTGTACTGTAGTTAGGTGTCTGTATATATTATATATATATTATATATTATATATTATATATATATATATATATATATATATATATATATATATATATATATATATATATATATATATATATATATGATCACACACACACACACACACACACACACACACACACACACACACACACACACACACACACACACACACACACACACACACACACACAACACACACACACACACACACACACACACACACACTTTTCTTTCTCTTTCTCTCTTTCTCTCTTTCTCTTCTCTCTTTCTCTCTTCTCTCTCTCTCTCTCTCTCTCTCTCTCTCTCTCTCTCTCTCTCTCTCTCTCTCTCTCTCTCTCTCTCTCTCCTCTCTCTCTCTCTTCTCTCTCCTCTCTCTCTCTTTATCTCTCTCTCTCTCTTATCTCTCTCTCTCTCTCTTATCTATCTCTTTATCTCTCTCTATCTCTCTCTCTCTCTCTCTCTCTCTCTCTCTCTCCTCTCTCTTCTCTCTCTCTCTCTCTCTCTCTCTCTCTCTTCTCTCTCTCTCTCTCTCTCTCTCTCTCTCTCTCTCTCTCATCTCCTCTCTCTCTCTCTCTCTCTCTCTCTCTCTCTCTCTCTTCCTTCTCCCTCCTCCCCCCCTCCTC